GTTGTTGAGGTATTCTCATGGCATATAGCAGGAAGTGGTAACACCATGACATGTATTCATCGCGTTTCAGGAAAATGCCAGAGCAGATTCGTAGGAACGAAATACAATTGTGTTTGACACGCTTGGAGTTAGTGGTGTTTCTTTGAGGATATATGGACATCAAAAACCTACTGAAGAAATATTACTGAATTTTGAACACAATCATGTTGCATGTGCTTATCATCGGTTGATGACATTTATGGGGTGTGATCAGAATGTAGACTCAAGTTTGCAGATATATCAGCTGTACTTCACAACATTATATCCGATCTATTATTTCTCGCTTGAACACCTAGATTTATTAAGACAGTCAGTCGTTGACACACACTTTCAAGCTCGTGTATCATGATCTCCATCTGCTTTACGTAGTCTACCAGCTATTTCTGGTGGTTACAGAGCAATCGCCGTTATACTCTCAACAAAACAAAGTTACTTGAAGGTGTTGCTTGACGAATGAGTCATTGATGCCCCAGTGGAAACTGGATTGCTTGAGATCCATTTCACGATCAGTAATTCTCATGATAGTATAATGTCATATAATCATGTTAGTGTTACTCTGACTCTTGGTCAGAATAAAAAGCTACAATCAGTATCAAAACGGAATTCGGTAATATAAATTAAGCTGAAATCAGCACAGATCGCAGGTGGGCCAAATTAACTATCACTGACAAAACGTCAACTCAGACACGTCATTGACTCCCAGCTATCAGCGACCGGTGTTAGATTTGATCTTTCTACGGTGGCCATTAAAGACATCGCCAAGACGGGTAATATATTTCCACTTCTTGCAGCTATACTAGCGTTGATAGCCGCTGAAGCCGAAGTGTCTGAACTTGGTGCTGTTGGAACTGCCGCTGGGTTAGCATTAACGAATCAACAGGCCACGGACTAAAAACTTTCAGGAAAAAAAGGACGGGGTCTAAGACTGTTAGAAACCGCTCATTTGTGGCACTGTCGAGCCACGATAGGTTCAGGTCTGAGACTGTCCGGGACACTACGCTAAATATGCGTCCCATTTCCAATTTTGTATTTACTTGATGCTGATAAAAAATTAAACATCAAGAACTTCAGAGGTGTATTTATGCGTGATCAACTACAAAAACAACCAAACCGTATTGAAACTGGTATCATTAATCAAGATGGAAGTTCAGGTCCATTACTCATTTGGTTGCATACACGATTGACCCACGTGGAGTTGTTGTTTATTTTTATTATTATGGGCTTGCACAACCGAAGGAATTTTTAAAACATGCAGGCGGACTTCAGAGCACTACAGTCTGGTATTCAACATTACCAACACAGACAATAACTGATTCACAAATATGTGGCAGTGAAGTACTCGCTGTGTTCGACACCGTGTAAAGGTCGCTGATACCGCTTCATAAAGTTGTGCATGAGCATACCACGTCGTCCAACGTTTTAAACAGGTTTTAGTGAATTCACAATGGTAGATATTTATGGAAGATCTCCTCTGAGCCTTAATCGTGGAAAGCCTCAAGGTGACTTATCCACATATGCAACCCCTGTCCAGGTCAAGGATGAGCTCGCTCATCTTTTGCGTCTCCTAGATGTATACCAAAATGAAGTTTTGTTTTTCAGGAAAAACTATCACGATTAAAGACGAGCAATATCCCTTTGACAGATATTATTCAGCAGGTTCCAAGTGCTTAAAACGGCAAAATTAACACCTCAAAGAGAACTTGCAGGACGTATCACAAGAATTGAAGATATTATGCATGGCGATCTCAACATGAGCAAAATACAATTATCAATGAAAGAGAACTAAAATCAGACAATGATGTGACAACAAATAAATACGTGGACAGCAATAACACCACGATTAGAACTGAGATCAATGATTACTATCCATCAGTGATAAAATGTGATATATCACTATCACCGATCCTAATTGTGTTAGGATGGCCAGAAGTGCCACCAACAGCATCTGCAGCAACACCACTTCAACAAGCTGATCATTCATCAGACAAGAAAGTGTATTGGGAAAATACAGATTAAGAAATACGGACGCTATCATGTAAACCATAATTCAAACTTGCAGCATGAAACGACTTTTGTCGGGGGGGGGGAGGGAGGAGGAAGAGCGGCTATCTTGATATGGAATCATGAAAGATATTCGTTTCAAGAATATAACTTCGAAAATCATTTCTAAGTTATTAATGCTGAACACAAACGAATAAGGATCAAAACACGCAAGTAATTCACCCGTTATATAAACGAGTATCCCCCGTTAGCGATTATCTGAGGGAGGAAACCATCATATAGAGTATCTGAACAAAGTAGCATCGAATTTCGAGAATTGTCATCAGAAAATTACACAAGCAGTGTTTGAAGACAACGACGAATTTATTAATACAGACAACACCAATATCTCGTATAAACAATTATTCTTGAAGAAATATTCGTTATCAGAAGCAGATCTGCCAAAATTTATATATTTTCTGGATTTAACACAGACGAATTGAATAAAAACGTCAAAATGATAATGGATGAATACTATACCGAAATCGTCGCTGCATGGAGAAAAATATTGCAAGCTACAGACGTCGCCGCATAGAGTATTCTTAAACCGGTAAAAGTATATCACGTCTTTTTCAAATGCTTGCGAACTAATAATCTGTATGGTTTCGGATTCGCGTGATAACTCTGATCTAACATTTTCAATCGCCTGTGCGAATGAAAAGAATTGCCGGATGTGTATATCATCATCGATATTAACTAGCGATTGTTTCATTGCCAGTTGTTACTTGTAGTAATTTTATAAACCTCTATTCGACTGCATGTGTGCATCTTCCATAAGATTTTCGCTCTTCTATTTCAGAATCATTTGTGATTTTTTCAGGATCAAGTTGATCGAAAAGTTCTATATCGTCATGGAATTTTTAATCGCAGAAATAATGCATTAGTATTTTCGGAATATATATATATATATATATATATATATATATATATATATATATATATATATATATATATATATATATATATATATATATATAATAAACAAATACTTGCATTTCAGGTTTTTTTTGTCGGAATGCATGGATATATTTATACAATACACATGCTTAATTCTAGTAGCATATCTAGTAGCCTTATTGCTAGCTAATAATTTTTCACAAAAGTAAAGGCGGTGGTAATTTTATCTTCAGGAATTATACTTGTAATTGTTCATGTACAAATCTACATTGAAAAGCAGTTGAATTTAGTCTATAGATTACAGGCCTACCCGTGGAATAGGATCAGTTCTCATTATTTACCACCTTCATGTTCACCAGTTTCATATAAAGATCTGTTACATTACCTAGTACTGGTTGTTTTGAGAAAGTATCACGTTGTTGTACTGGTATGTGCTTCTTGTGATTGCATTGATAGGTTTCACAGAAATTTCACCAGTAATTTCATTAATTAACACAGCTATTACACTTGCATGTCTTGCAACACATTTACGAGATCTCTTAGCCTTGGACTGAAGATCGGTGAATATTTCCTTTGCATATTGATATCCAAACAATCGCTCAGCAAGTGTTCGATTAGATTGCTGAATGAATGCCTAGTTCGCGATGAATTGCGGCGTGTCCTCGTCTAATTTTGATGTTACTGTTCTATCAGAAATGTTACCGCACCAAGAAATTCTTTGCCAGGATCTACCTGTAGCAACTGAGGCCATTGCAAGGGTCCTAGCTGACAAATTCATTCAAACGCAGATGCAATTTCATTTGCTGTCTTTGTGGTGGATCTGCTTCTATATATCAACTTTCAACATCAATGACAGTCAACACGAATTTGTGCACGATTGACGTCTACCAGTTTTAATGGTATCATGCGGTAAAAGAAACAAAATATCTATCAAAATGTCCTTACTGAATATTTTTAGGTCGTGGTGAATATATTTGCCATAATGCCTGTCATGCTAACCAATCTGCAGCAACAGAACGTTCAACAACTGCTGCATCAGTAAGTTTACTAATCACTGCTATACCTCTCCAATATCCTCTTGGGCTATACATGTATTATAATAATCAGCAGACTTATTACCCGCCCCTAGTACTAGTTTACCCTTCATTGTAGATCTTACCAGCCAATAAGCTAGTGATTTTCTCTTTTACTGGACACCGAGTAGCCGAGGTGTCTAAAACGCTGTTCGTTACGGATCACTGCCATCTCACCTGTGTCTGCGTGGGTTCGAGTCTAGGATTCGGCAAATATGGATATGTGAGAAAGTTTGCCAGTAGCTTCTCGTGGGTAGGTGGTTCTTTCCGGTGATTTCCCGGTTTCTTTCTCTACCATTAATACTGGCCGCCTATCGTGTGCTGAAAAATGACGTTAAACCATACAACAACTCTCTTTTACAGACTTCAGAGTGTGAATCGGCTTCATGTCTGCAATATGTCGTTGATGTAAATCTGGATTTTTATATGCAACATCATGAACGTGGCACACATATTGGATACTCTCCAGTTCTTGGCTGATCTTTGTTGTCAAGTCGGATATTAAGTTGGGTTCCAGGACCATAATAATTGTATTGTTGCTTCTCGCCAGGATACTTAGCCCATGGAGCTCCTGGTAATTTTCCCATTGAAGCAGCGATATCCCTGCCTTTTTCATGAGCTAAATCTGTATTTGCATTTACCACATTTCACACACTTGTCTGTAAGTGCATGTTTTTTATTCCTCATTGTTATTGTTTTTAATCTACTGGTGGGGGTGGGGTGTATCAAACACAATATAAATTCATATTGTTTATTATATTTCTACAACACGAATATCATCGATTTCTCAGCAACAGGAAAGCAAAAGCCAATCAAGAACCATCCAGTGCTACCAAATTCTATCAGAGTAATTATCATAGGTCCATCTAGGTCTGATACAATTATTGCTTAACCTGATAATGAGATGACACAAGTGGGATAAATCGTGTTCAGTGGCACCATCTAAAGATGGACCGCTCTGGTGGCCTAGTGGTTAGAGCATCCACCTCAAATGCGGGAGGTCGTGGGTTCGATACCCGGTCGAGTCATACCAAAGACTTATGAAAATGGTATTAACAGCTTCCTCGCTTGGTGCTCAGCATTAAGAGGTTAGTGTTAGGACTGGTCGGCCTGCTGTCAGGATAATGTGACTGGGTGGGACATCATGCTACATGTCTGCGGCATGATACCCCTGTGCTAGACATTACTATAAACTGCCACACTGCAGACATCGTAGTGATATGACTGAAATTTTTTTAAAGCTATGTTAAAAATCATAATTACATCACATCACAATCTGAAGATGATAAGCAATGCTACAACGTGCTTAAAGATTTTAATGAAATTGCAAAATTGTTGGACAAAGACGGTAATGATATTGATTTTATCACTGACTTCAATGATGCTCCATCTGTGGATGATCTGGATGGATATATTAATAATCTCATAGTATAGGATGACATAATGCTGGACAATCAAATCCAGCTCAGAGGCAGACACAAAACACCGATATTATATATGTTACTCAGTAATATGCACAAATACCTAAGTGATCAGAAATAACTTCAATCTTCTGGTTGTCTTTAATGGTGTTGATACACACACACACAAAGAAACATCCATCAGACTTGGTGGTCAGGGGACATGGATATGATTAAGTTTATAAACTTCTTCTCAAAAGCACAAGTAATTCCTCATTGTCACAATAACCTTACATGATCCTTGGTGATAATAAAATATTTGGTTGAGATAGACAACTGCAGGAAGGGGATGACCAACAGTGAGAATCCTTGGTCAGTAAATAAGAATGCCTAAAAATGTGAAAACTACAAGCGTCAAAAGATAAAAAAAACAAAAAGGCCCTAACCTTGGTCAGTTAGAAGTCTCTGTTCAACATTATTGACCCTGTATTTTTTTTTGTAGGAAGCTTTATTCTCAAAAACAGATTGCTCTAAAAAGGGGTCTGTTCACCCTTCCTGCTGCTGCACAATTATGCTTTTCTATCAGGTGATATGCTGAAGCCAGATAAAGGTGGGCAAGTGATAAAAAAAACTTGGTTAGCTCTAATGACCTTTGAGACCCTCTAATTTCAAACCAAACCCATCCTGTATTCTAACTGAAGTACCCATCAGAATTTTTTAATAAAAGGTATAATTTGCCAGAGAAAACTTCAATCTTGCTAATGAAATGTGGCTTTTTGTTCCTCATGTTCTTGAAAGATTAGTAAATGATTAGTATGCATCATAAGGTATATGCTTTTGATTTTCTACTTACCATATTTCTATCAAAAGCATGTGACCTATGAATAGGGTACAGATTGCTTGGGTTAGTGCTCACTTGGCTTTAACATACACCAGCAGTAGAACAAAAATAGTTTTAAGGCTGTCTAAGGCAATACAGTTTTATAGTTTAAATTTTCTAATTTAAAAATCAAATAATAATAAAATAAAACAAAATATGAATAAATAAACAGGATCAAAAAGGTCATTTTTATGCCTTCTATCCATGCATAACAAATACCAGCCAGAACCAGTCTGGCTGAAACTCTTCCAGTAGTTGTTGTAAAAAGTGTCAGCTGAGTAATGGGATAACAGATACCATGTACACAATTTGATAATCAATTACTGTTTGTCATCTGGAGAGTAGAGGACTGGCTGAATTGCAGGTTTATTTTTGGAGGTATTATAAGTAATGAAGGGATAAAAAAATGTAGTCCATGATGACTTCTGAGTCTTTGATTAATAATTAGCTGTCCTTTTGGCGGAGGCAAGAGAAAAATAGACATAAAAAATGATTTTAACAGAAACACTTGAGAAAATGTTTTGAGTCTTTTGTCTTGTTTAATTGCAACATTCAAAATATTTAAATTTTAAGGAATGAGAATTGAGCTGTCCCTTGCTCACATTTACACTTGCATAACGCAACACTGGTTAACATCAAACGTTTTAATCAAAACTAAAATTCAAGATGCGCATTTGCTGGTTTTCTTCTTTAAGGTATTTATGCAATAGTATGTGTCTTTAGTGAAATTTTATTACCATTATAGAGGAGTCCTAATATTAATCATTGGGTATAAACTGTTTTGTACATCTAATGTCATACGCATCAACATAAAGTATTGGATAAATAAATTTTGATGTAACATTTCTGTTAAAATGTTTTATAATCCCAGTCCCTCTAAAAGTTTTTATATAATTATACAAACAGGGGTGTAGTGCTGTGAGAATGGTGTTCCTTTACGTTTTCACTTGCAATTGTCACTCCACATCTGAGCAACATGCATTCCCTCAGTTCTTTATTGCATTATCTCGCACATCTTTATATATATATATATATATATATATATATATATATATATATAATGTATGTATATGTGTGTGTATATATATATATATATATATATATATATATATATATATATATATATATATATATATATATATATATATATATATATATATATATATATATATATATCACACCTGCAGGACAGACCCTTCCATTAATGAAAACTTTTTCAAATTTTGTTCTTCTTTTTAATTGATTAGATGTCTAGCAAGTATACAAAACTGTGTAGCTGTGCTTGTAATATTTCATTTCAATGTTTGTACTATGAGTCAAGTCAATTAGGTTTGAAATTATATGCTCATAAATGAAATGGCTAAGTTTTGTGCATTTACTTTATATCCTTGATGCATTTTGTTTTCAAATTGGCGGTGGTGGTGGTGGTGCGAGGGGGGGTAAAAACAAATGGTTACGTAAGCAAATACTATAGCACATGGTGTGTTCATGATTTCACAGAAATGATAAGGATCAATTTTCAAGCTGATCTAAATGCCCTAATTTAAAATTTATCCTGTTTAACAGAATCAGATTAGCCCTGATTAAAATTGTTTAGTGCTGATTATTAATTTATTAATTAATAATTACTGTTCAGGTTTAATTCTTTGGATTTTATGTTTACTCTTGAAATTTTTGTTATTATTCAAATCACTGAATATAAACTGTCCTTGGAGTTTTATCTCCTCTTTTTCTAACTTATGGATATACAGAAAAATTCGTTTTGCATTATGTGCACTGAATTTTTTCATCAAAAAAGAAGTTACAGTAATAAAGAAAAAGTTTTGAAACTTAAACCATTTATCCCGAGGATGTCTAAAATTCATTTTACAATATTATCTTTGAACACTAATCTCACCTGGGGAATAGATCACAAGTGCAAAAGCATGATAAATCACAATTTAGTATCAAAATTTTAGATATATCAGCTAGGAAAATTTTAAAGCATTTTTAAGAACATTGTGGGGGAAAAAAAATTGAAAGAAACTTCACATCCAATGAGCTACTTTGTCATTGTCATTGGTTTGGGTTTAACACAATTTTTCAGCACATAATAGGCTAACATGAAAGTATATCAGGTGGAGGAATAACCTAGAAAATCCTGTAAAGAACCACTGACTCAAAGGAAGCTACTGGCAAACTTTCTTACATAACCACAGGCCACATAACAGGCCACTAAACCCAAAGGGGCCCACAATTTTGACTTGATTTACATTTGATTGTCCCAGATTTTCATGGTGTTAAACAGCAGACACTTCCTATATGCAGCAAGGATAGGCATATCAAATAGATGTGAGCCTTAGGCCACTAAACCCAAAGGGGCCCACAATTTTGTTTTGATTTACATTTGATTGTCCCAGATCTTCATGGTGTTACACAGCTGACACTTCCTATATGTGGGGAATACAACAACTATATGAACTACACTTGAAAAGATACTTTACATGAGCCAATAGGTATCTTTCATGATGCAGCAAGGATAAGCATATTATATAGATCATGTTATAGGGAGAGAGGACGTGACAATATAAAATATTTCTTAAGATGACAAAAACTACAAGCATAAATCAATATAGAATCGTAAATTAAAAGCTTTAACTTTCAGGAAAAATGTATCCCCACCCAAAAGTGGTGTTTGAGGTCAGCCATCTTTCAACTCAATCTTCCAAACCTTTTTAATGGTCGTTTTCTTTTTTAATTTACTGTTATAAAGTTCTGGAACATAAAAGGTGTGTTGTATCAATCTTGAATTTGTGATACTTTGATTTACATATATTTTTGAAAACTGCTTACATTATGGTGAATAGATTTCATTGGAGGTATTTATAAAAACTCCTGACATCATACATAAACAATCTTCTGAAGTTTAGAAGCATACAAAGGGTGAATGGTTAGAAATAAATATTCTTTATATGCAAATAATGAACCTGGGTCTAATGCAATTTTATCCAAGTTTACAAATAATCAGCATGCAAAATTTGTGTTTACTCAAATCAGAGTCATTTGATAGTTGGAATAGGTACTTGTCTATTATGAAACAATACTGAAAGATAGAATGGTTCATTTTTCTCCATAATTAATTAACTGCATTGTATTTTCTAAAAGATTTTAAAAAATCCGAAAAAAGCATAATCCATCAAAATCCAAAAAATGGTGTAATTGCATATATGGTATGTAAATTTTTAATATTATGTTTGCTATAAAAATTTTTAATATTATGTTTGCAATACAGAAATGAATACTTCTTCAGCCAAGTAGTACAAAATTTTTGTATCAAGTTTCTTTTCCTATTTTGGCAACTGATATTTCCAGTTTCTGTTTAAATTGAAACTATCTTTTTGTTCAATGTTTTCAGCCATATCTTAAGAGAGGGAATTCAAACATGGGCAACCTAAAAATACTGAGATAAGTTGGCTCCCTGTAAAATCATATATACATAGATGTGGTTTTCATTTATAGTATTATGGTACCAATTGTTTTTCCATAGACCGCAATGCTAATGTTTTGCAAAATAAACATACAGTAGACTTTCAATTATCCGCACATGGTTTAACCACTTTGCGGCTTAACCGCGGCAATTTATTTTTTAAGAATTTTTTACTCCATATCTTAAAAAGATGGAGAGTTATGCGATGATTTCAAAATCGAAAATTTTATACAGGAAGTCAACCAACCTGTTTAAGGACGACTCGGGCTTACGACTGGTACC